GACTAACATAACAGCTCCCCTTACATCTGGTATAATCATTGACAGAACAACTGACCACTATCCTACCTTCCTCGTAGCGAACATGGACATAACACCACCAGCTAACAAGAAACTTACCTTTAGGTTACACAGTGAAGCAGCAATAGGCAATCTCACAAATGCCCTCCACAATATAAACTGGGAATCTGAATTTAATAATACACAGGATATAAATTCATTAACTAACCTCTTCCTTTCCAAAATTCTAAGCCTTTACAATACTCATTGTCCTCTCCTCACCAAGCAAGTAACTGACAAAAGGTTAAATAATCCCTGGCTCACAAATGGCATACTCAAAGCAATCGACAAGAAACATGAATATGAAAAAAAAACTTAGGATTGGCCTAGTTGCAAAGGAAGTAGTTAAGAGGTACTCGTCAGTGCTTACCAGTATAATAAGAAAAGCAAAACTTTCCTATTATGAGAGTAGATTCAAAGAAGCAAAAGGCAACATGAAAAGCACATGGAGAGCCATCTCTAACATCCTAGGAGCTAAACAACATTCACATAACCAGATAAAAATCTCCAAGGATGGTTATACACCTGCAACAGATCTAGAAACAGCAACTGAATTTAATAGCTTCTTTTCATCGGTTGGTGCTAACCTTGCCAGAAAAATCCCACAGACTCAGACACATGTTACCACATATCTTTCAGGCAGCTACCCAAACTCTCTTCTCCTCTCACCAGTCAGCCCTACAGATGTTGTGTCCATCATTCACTCACTAAAAACCAAAGCTGGGAACATTAGTGAAATACCATCCATGGTATACAAGAGTGTCTCCCATGCCCTTGCACCACCCATAGCTTTGCTGTTCAACAAATCTCTAGAGTGTCATACCTTCCCTGATATCCTTAAAAAAGCAAGAGTAACGCCAGTTCATAAAGGAGGCAATCCGGCAGACATAAACAATTACAGACCAATATCAAATCTACCTATATTATCAAAAATATTTGAAAAAATTATTTACAAACAGCTCTACTCCTATCTCGTAAAATTCAACATACTAAGTCCCTGCCAGTTTGGCTTCCGCTCCCAAAAGAGTACCAATGATGCAATTATTAGTCTGCTTGACTTAATCTACTCAGCCCTTGACAAAAATGAGTTTCCGATTGGACTCTTCATTGACCTGAGAAAGGCCTTTGATACTGTTAACCATAACTACCTCTTACTTAAACTCCACCATTATGGAATCCGAGGCCTTGCCCTGAACTATATCCGATCCTATCTTAGTGACAGACACCAATATGTAGCCATCAATGATATAACCTCTCCCACTCTACCATTAACCGTAGGGGTGCCACAGGGCAGCATCCTAGGACCTCTCCTATTTCTTATATACATCAATGATCTGCCTAATGTCTCTAACATTCTTAAACCTATATTATTTGCTGATGATACTACCCTCATCTACTCAGACCCCAACCCACACATATTAAATAATGTTGTAAACAATGAACTAAAAAAAAGTCCACTTATGGATGTCAACCAACAAACTCACACTAAACATAGAAAAGACCTACTACATCTTATTTGGAAGCAAATCAACAAATGCAATTCAGCTTCAGATAGACAATGTTAACATCAGCAATAAAAATGATGGAAAGTTCCTTGGCCTATACTTAGACAAGAGACTCAACTTCAGCACCCACATACAACACATAACCAAGAAAGTCTCAAAAACAGTTGGTATACTCTCTAAAATCAGATATTATGTTCCAAACTCTGCTCTCCTCTCACTATACTACGCGCTAATCTATCCCTATCTTACATATGGTATCTGTGCATGGGGCTCAACCTCTGCAAACTACCTCAAGCCCATCATCACCCAGCAAAAATCTGCTATCAGAACAATAACAAACTCTGCTTTCAGACAACACTCAGCCCCCCTGTTTAAATCCCTAAACATGCTAAACATAACCTCACTCCACACATTCTCTTGTGTCAATTACATTTACAAAACCCTGTTCTTAAGTGCAAACCCTGTTCTGAAACTCTTCCTGGACAGATGTAATAGAACACATAATCACCACACCAGAAATAAATATCTCTTTGATATCCCCAGAGTCAAACTTAATCTGTGTAAACACTCTATGCAAATAAAGGGACCTAGTCTATGGAACTCACTCCCTAACGAATTGAAAAGCTGTCAAACTTTTGCCTTATTCAAAAATAAAACCAAAAAGTACCTAATTTCATCTTCATAGTTTCCTACCTAGTGCTTGAAACTCGCACTGTATCTAGTGCTACCCAATCCCCAATATATGTACCTATGCCATACAACTTTACCATTGTAATCATTGCTGTTATCTTATATCATGTTATATACATAGTTTGCTACAATATATCTTGCAATAATCCTCAAATTATGCCAATATGTACCTGTGGATAACCCTTTAATTTACTTTAATGTACCTACTTTTTTCTGTCAAATTTCTTATACAATGTATTTTTTGTATACTTTCTTACAATGCATTTTTTGTATACTTTCTTACAATGCATTTTTATACTTTCTTACAGTGTATTTTTATACTTTCTTACAATGTACCTGTAAACATTTTTTTAATTTTGCTAGAAATTACCTTCTTAAAATTATATGTTAGATTAAGGATCTGCCCGAAACGCTATGCGTGCTAGTGGCTTTACAAGAATGTAAAACTTCAAGTCTCTGTACTCTCATAAACCCAATGTACCTTCTTGTATATAAATAAATAAATAAATAAATAAAAGGAACAATTGATGAAACTGAGAAAGGGGAGAACGGATACACAGAGATTGACAAGGAGGTGTGTGAAGAACTCAACAAGAGATTCCAGGGGGTCTTCACAATAGAACAAGGAGAAGTCCCTGCACTAAATGAAGAGGCAAACCAAGCAACTTTGGAGGATTTTGACCTCACCAGTGATGAGGTCAAAAGGAATCTGTTGGAGCTGAATGTGACAAAAAAGATTGTTGGACCTGATAAAATTTCCCCGTGGATACTAAAAGAAGGTGCAGAGGCACTAAGTGTGCCACACTCTATAGTGTATAACAGGTCACTGGAAACAGGAGACCTACCGGAAAGCTGGAAGACAGCTAATGTAGTCCCAATATACAAAAAGGGTGACAGGCAAGAGGCACTGAACTACAGGCCAGTTTCCCTAACTTGTATATCATGCAAAGTGATGAAGATCGTGAGGAAAAGGCTGGTAGAGCATCTGGAGGAAAATAGCTTTGTAACACACCACCAGCATGGGCTCAGAGATGGTAAATCGTGCCTCACAGGTTAAATAGAATTCTATGACCAAGCAACACAAATTAGGCAGGGAAGAGAAGGGTGGGCAGACTGCATTTTCTTGGACTATCAGAAAGCCTTTGACACAGTACCTCACAAAAAGGCGTTACAAAAGTTAGAGCAACAGACAGGAGTAAAAGGTTAGGTGCTCCAGTAGATAAGGGAGTATCTAAGCAACAGGAAACAACGAGTAACTGTGAGGGGGGAGACATCAAAGTGGCGAGATGTCACCAGAGGGGTTCCATAGGGCTCTGTACTTGGACCCATCCTGTTTCTAATATATGTAAACGACCTTCCAGAGGGTATAGACTCATTCCTCTCAATATTTTCTGATGATGCAAAAATTATGAGAAGAATCAAGACAGATGAAGATAGACAGAGACTACAGAACGACCTGGACAAACTGGTGCAATGGTCTAGAAAATGGCTACTAAAGTTCAACTCAGGAAAGTTTAAGGTAATGAAATTAGGCAAAGGGAGCAGAAGGCTAAACACAAGGTACCATCTGGGAGGTGAAATCCTACAAGAGTCAAATAGAGAGAATGATCTGGGGGTTGATATCACATTGAACCAATCCCAAGAGGCCCACATCAAAAGGATGTCGTCAGCGGCATATGCTAGACTGGCTTACACAAGAACTGCCTTTAGAAACTTGTGTGAGGAATCGTTCAAGACCTTGTATACCACTAACGTAAGACCAATCCTGGAGAATGCAGCTCCAGCCTGGAGTCCATACCAAGTTAAAGACAAGACAAAGTTAAAGAAGACTCAGAAGTATGCCTGCTCAACCACTTGGACTGGACGGTAGCGCGACGGTCTCGCTTCATGCAGGTCGGCGTTCAATCCCCGACCGTCCAAGTGGTTGGGCACCATTCCTTCCTCCCATCACTTCCCAAATCTTTATCCTGGCCCCCTTCCCAGTGCTATATAGTAAAATGGCTTGGCGCTTTCCCCCTGATAGTTCCCATTCAGAGGTATGCCACCAGACTAGTCTGATGGCATACGAGGAAAGGCTAAGGGAGCTGAACCTCACATCTCTGAAAAACAGAAGAGTAGGGGGAGACATGATTACCACCTACAATATTCTTAGGGGAATTGACAGGGTGGACAAAGACAAACTCTTCAGCACAGGTGGAACACGAACAAGGGGACACAGGTGGAAACTTAGTACCCAGATGAGCCACAGGGACATTAGAAAGTTTTTTTTTTTTAGTGTCAGAGTAGTTAACAGATTCAATGCATTAGGAAGTGATGTGGTGGAGGGAGACTCCATACACAGTTTCAAATGTTGATATGATAGAGCCCAGTAGGCTGAAGAATCTGTACACCAGTTGATTGACAGTTGAGAGGCGGGACCAAAGAGCTAGGGCTCAACCCCCGCAAGCACAAGTAGGTGAGTACAACTAGGTGAGTACGCATCCCCAGGAAGCACCCCGTAGCAGCTGTCTTATTCCCAGGTACCTATTTACTGCAAGGTGAACAGGAGCATCAGGGTGAAATAAACTCGGTCTATTTGTTTTTGCCTCAGGCGGGAAGCGAACCCGGGGTCCTTAAGACTACGACCCCCGAGCATAGTCCACACAGCCGCGAGAGCCCCAAATGTATTCCTCAGCCGTGTAATGAACGATAACAGCGGATAACGTCGACGTGTGCGTATGTGAGAAAGTCAAGACAAGAGGCACTCAC